TTTCCATCTTATCTTCCATTTTTCGTCATAATCTGGATTACCCAAAATTATCGTGAACTGTGCCTTCAAATCTGTCGTTGCACACAATCCACATTTGAATGCTCCAGGTCTGAATCAGTATTTTTTAGGTACGTCCCTCCTGCCGTGGGTGGAGTTAACTCATGCCAGCTCCTTTCAACATTCCCATGCAAACGCCTTTATTCCTGGAAATATGAATGACTCAGGTCCAAACTCAATTTTCGAGCACGCCCTGCATGGAGCCTAATCCTGCCACCCATCATACGTGTTCCTGTCCTGCCTCCGGTATTCCTACCAAATTTGAATGCTCTAGGTCCACGGGACAGGAGCTACGAAGTTCCAGTCGCACATACAACACAGGCACACACAAACCCATAGACATAAGCGCGTTATATATAGAGGATTATACAGCAAATTATAACATATGTGTTCAGTGCCATCGAAACATTACCTCATGAGCGTAAATTCCCGGGTGGAAACTGGCAAGTTCGTAAGTACTGCAAAACATCTGTACATGTGAATTAGCCTTCCCTAAATGAGTTACTGGTTTAGAAACTGAACTGATAATTTTCGGAATAGCTACGGGAGACAGCTGGACAGTGGAGCTACTTGGAAGCGGAGGCAACGCCCTGTTCCAGTTTGTTGCAAAATATAAAGAGAAAGTTGTAAGTTCAGAGCGCTAGCAGTAAGTCATTGGTCGCTATAACAAGGTTTAAATAAAATTACTGAACATTGTAAATTTACAGACTGTTCGTAACGCAAACATTGGAGGAAACTGGGGAAATGAAGAAAAGACAGGACAATTTCCTTTCCAACGAGATCGTGGCTTTGAACTTTCACTTGGGCTCGTCGCTAGTGGCATTAATGTAATGTCTTTCGAAGATCACAAATCCTCATTCTGGTCGGTCTTTCAGCGGTAGTAATTAGAGGACTTGGTAAATCTGTTCAAAAATAGAGTTAAATTACTAGTTGCGATGGCATTCTCGAGACTGAATGACGAGTTAACGGAACCGTTGTTTAAGAAATGGTTGTTTCTGGAATATCTCTAATCTCCCCATTAACAAGCGTGTTATACACATCTGGTTATCGTCATTATGTGGAACGTGCAGAATTATTTGTAGCTCACCAAGCCCTAACAATAAGGTACTACATGCAAAAAGTGCTAAATATTGGTCGCGCAGCTCTGACTTAACAAAAACACGTGTTATTGGTGGATCATCCACGGCGATCGATCATGACCCTACCTCGCATGCTCACGAAGGATTCTGTCGCAGTTTTACCTAGGTGAGAATGCCGTGATTGAGTCAAGAGATGAAATGAAGAAAAAAAGTTATTAAAGCTCCCTTCCAAATACTTGATTGCATTTTATTTTGCTTCTTTCAGATGCTCTGCAATAACGCTCGCTTTGGCCAGTTTGCCCATCGTACAGGTTCACCATTAACTGATTATCAGGGCATAAGAATCTCAGGCGACGCGAAGATCGTTATGGTGCGATACGCTAAACGCCCATAGAGAATCGGCAGCCTCTTCTTTTCTTGTTTCTTTGCGAACACAATTTCTCGAGCATTATACAGTCATTGCTGTATAAATGAAGTGTGTGCAAAATCTGTTATTACTTTTTTGGAGAGCATCTGAGTTGTTGACCGAAACGTTAGCACCCAAAGAGTCAAATTAAGGCTTTGTACTTGGCAACTTGCACTCAAGCAATGGACCAATCATATCCCTGTCATTTTAGAGAAGTGCAGGAACATGGAAAGATCAAGGGAATATCAACCAAAGCGATAGTATTGCCTCCGTCATCGAAACCGTGTCCTGGAGTACGAGCGGACATAGCAGTTGCCGAGCTGCTGAAGTTGTTATGGTGTTTGGAAAGTTTTGAGAAAATTATGCCCCTTAGCTGGGAATGTGTGTTACTCTCAAACGCGCTACGAAGGGCTATAAATTTAATAGCAGGGAGAGGCATTGTTGATAGATCAACTCTACAGCCGATCGATATTTGACGTGGTCCTTAGAAGTGTGATATGTAACCGTCCACCAAAGTATGTGCCATCGACACGACTACAAGGGAGTGACTGAACTGAATCCTGTTCGCGTGCTGAGCGTAGGGAGATGGACGGGATGAAGGCGGACCGTGCGTGGACTGGCCTGTAATGTGAAAACACGCAGTCAAGTTGGAATAAGAGAGGAAGCAACCATGCAGAGATAAATACACATACAGATAGGGCTTGAGCACAATCCCGATCAGATGGAAGATGCGTTTTAGGGCGGTTAAAATATATGCACTACTAAAGTAATATAGTATAGTATGATTTTTCATTGCGGGTCTTCTAAATGTGTAGTTTAAAGCAGAATCATTCTTTATGTATCTAGATGGAAGTACCTACTCGAGATGGTCTCAAAAATATCATACTCTGTTTTCAGCTAGCGTTAATATCGTTAACACTTTCATTGATCTGTCACATGCTTGGCACTAATCTATGGATCTTAACATAAGACCCTTGTTACATAACACGGATATACATTATAGATTATATCAGGTCTAATGTAAGAATAACTCATTTGAGAAGCTATTTCATAAATTGTTGCATATAATAATAAGTCAACTTACCANTTAGTGTCGTGGTTAGACCGCGATTCTTGTGATCCATCGTTAGCAGAGCACTCAGTATTCCATCCGATTAAATTTGTTTTGCCAAGAATTTTTCAAGAATTCTGCGCTTATCTGCTCGATCTTGTGAGGCAAGCGCCAATGCTCGTATAAGTACGTTGACATGCGCGATGCAATCAGTTCTTCCTCCATGGTGCAGCGGCTTCTGTGTGTGAGTTTTTGCGATTTCTCTTTTATTATTTTATTATCACACATATGCTTTTTTATAATGCCTTTCGCTTATGGGCCTGGGGTTTGATTCTTGGTATTTCTTTTTTGTTGAACGACCTATGTTACTGTCACGTTTCTTGAAATTGCTTTTGAGCTCAATGACCCAAAGTATTGCTGAGTATTGCAGCAATGTAAGGCTTCTAAATCCGTCATCTAATTTCTAACGATTCTGGACAAACATGCCTACCTGATCACTGATATGGTCGAAAATCGAATTTCTGATCAAGGTGTGCCATTACAACCACTCCATCGATTGCTCCCTCGGTCAGTGAAGTGGTATAGGGGTTGTGGAGAAACACAATAACCCTGTTTTGTATGAGCTCGACATTCCGCAACCTATTTTATTGAGTGCACTATACGCAGCGCCGGTTTTCCTTCACATGGTTTCAAATCCAAAATCCGTGCACGGGAAAATTACTCAAATGGCTGCCGGTGGCGAGATTCAACTGCATTCCTGCGCAGTGTGCACTAGTCGATATTCTTGCCGTTCATGAGTTATTCAATGCAAACAGTGAAAGAGCTCAGCTAGACATCTAGAAGACCTGTAATGAAAAATCTTAACTATTTTTTATAACTTCAATAGTGCATATATTTCAACCGCCTTGAAATGCATCTTCCATCTGATCGGGGCCGTGCTCAAGCCCTGTGTGTTTAACTATGCATAGTCGATTCCACTCTTATTCCAACTCGACTGCGTGCTTTCACATCACGGTCAGTTCACGCACGGTCCGCCTTCATCTCCTCCATCTCCCTACGCTCAGCGCGCGATCAGGATTCAGTTCAGTCACGCTCATGCGAACGTCCTCGGTCCAGATTGACAGTTTTCAAGTGAGTTCTATGTATCTCTTTCGTAGTCAAGTTGTGAAACCTCTAATTAGTGCACCCATCCTGACAACCGTGCTCTTACCAAGTTGCAGTGCTATGGCTTTTGGAAAACGAGAGCTACGAATTTTCACCCAGACACCGATTTTGACTCACGCCCATCCGCCGTGGGCTAATCACATTTGCCTCACGCCATTAGTGTTCGCATCCTGCCGCCTGTACTCCCACCAATAATGACACTATTTTTCACGAACGCCTCGCTCCTCCAGGCGAAGTCTTCACATGCCACCTGTCATTACTATTCCTAAACTGCCGGCTGTATTCCTTACAAATTTGGTAGTTATACTTCCAAATGTGCAATTTTTGCGCACGCCCCGCTTTCAGTGAGAAAGGTCTACACCTAGTCTTCGCCATTGGCATTCGCGGATAATTCGACCTCTATAGGTGGAAAAAAACAGAGTTATGATTTTTCAGTCCGGAAGAGGTCGTAAGGAAGAGAGGTATGATTTTGCCCTTTGACACGAATTTCCGCACACACACCCGACACGCGCAAATCGACACACGCACACACTGGAGAAGTTCAATTCGTGCGATTCTGGGTGCGCGCGGCGAATTGCGCGGTGAAATTCGCGATGATTCAAACAACTCTGGCGCCTATCATTAGGACACAAACTCGAAGTAGAGTACTTTATTATGGTTGGGCAATCCTGCTAACCTCCTTTACTTCAAATTTGGGCCCCAATGGTAAACGCTGCAGTCGTCTAAATCGCACCGAAATTTGCCGCGCGCACCCGGAATCGCACGAAGTGCCACACACCCCGCACACACATACACCGACACCAGCAAGCCGAGGCACACATCGGCACACCAATGGGCACACATAACGCTATGTGTAATGAGGTCGTGTGAGCAGGATAGAAATAAAAAGAATAAAGGGTAAAGTTTTTGACGTTAATCAATCCCTGAGGGATGCGCCCCCGTAACTCGAGTTCCATTCAGAATCGTAGTGACGTAATGAGTGCGTATGTGGTCTATACAATGACTTGCGGTGGCCAGCCGATGTACAAGTCAGTGCTTTTATCCTCCCAGACGAGTCTGGTACCAATTCTCCTACCCCGAAGGGATGGAAGGCTCGGCTGGCCCAGGCAGGCATCGATCCGGGATTCGAACCCCTGACCGTGCGTGTGATATAGTGCGCCACTCGCTACTGCACCACTCTGCACGCAGGTTAAAAATACCATAAGATATTTTGTTAACTGCTGTTTTATCGCCACAGCACAGGTTGTGAAAGTCTCACAAGGTTGGCGTATCTGGACCGCCGTAATACTAAACCATAGGATAGTTTAGTATCACGGCGTTCGACCACATTCCTTCGACAGCATCCATCTCTTTTTTCCGAACTCTAAAGAATTTTTAACATGGTACGATCTTTTTATTTCGGCCACCCATTTCATTGCAAGCTCCGACCATATCAGTGCAAACCCCCCCCCTACTACTGAATTTGCCCAATTTTCCTTCGATAATCCTAGAGCATTTCTTTCCTGATCCTGAAACGCTCTTTAACCGAGCTATAAATTTCGAAAAAGAAACGTATTTCATCCCACAATGCAATCACCGCACCTCAGAGAGAGAGCTTCGTTGATTTTCCGCATGCCTAGCACGCCTTAGACATTGCTCACTACCACAATTTTTTCTGGCCTTTGGATTTTTTGTTACAATGAAGCTATGAGTCCATATGGGCTACACTGATCTTGCCATAGGCCCTGACCATTCCCAAACTGACCCAACCTCTTGGAGTTCTCCTTCAGGTCATACTCAATATGGCGGCAGACAAACAGACAGATAGACACACAACAGATAGACAGACAGACAGACAGACAGACAGACAGACAGACAGACAGACAGACAGACAGACAGACAGACAGACAGAC